TGTTAAGGACATTTCCACCTTTGTTGGGTATGGGTCTACAGAGACCAATGCTACCTATTATTCCTCAGGATTGCCTACTGAGGGGAGGGGGCGGGGGTGACTTTATGATATCTATAGAGTCCTCATCCTATCTGTTTCCTAGACTGTTAAAGCAGACCTTCACCCTCCCTACCATCCATACCTAATTGTCCTCCTACCCCCATCTTCTCTCATAACTGGACATTTATTTTCCCCTTTCCCAAGGTTCGTCAGGGTTTTCCACTGAGGGGTTGTCTTTATGATGTCTGTAGAGCCCCCATCCTATCTGCTTCCTCGCACAAGACTCTTAAAGCAGACCTTCACCCTCCCTACCATCCTTACATCATTGTCCTCCTACCCCCATCTTCTCTCATAACTGGACATTTATTTCCCCCTTTCCCAATGTTCCTCAGGGTTGTCTATTGGAGAGTTGTCTTTATGATGTCTGTAGAGCCCCCATCCTATCTGCTTCCTCCCACAAGATTCATAAAGCGGACCTTCACCCTCCCCACCAACTTTACCTCATTGTCTCCGTACCATCATCTTCTCTCATAATTGGACGTTTATTTTCCCCTTTCCAAATACTTTTTTTCTTTGGGAACCCTCCCAGCACTTCCAGGATTCTCGCCTAGGCAAGAATTAAGTTCAATTTGCCTTCAGTGTCCTGGGACAATGACATTATGCACCCCAGGAGGCCTCGGGGTGCTCTATGGTGCTCCCCTGTGCATCATCAGGGGGCCCTTTTGTCTCTTCTTGGTTCCTGCAAAAACCCAGAAGGGACAGCTGCCCCCCAATGATGTAAGTAAAGAAGATGGTGGCGTGGGACCTGGTGTGCAGTGGTGGATCGGCAATCTGCAGCAGGACAATGCTGGCTTTGCTGAATGTTTGTGTATGTAATTTCAGGATAACCCAGCAAACAAGGTAAATGGAGATTTAAAAAAAAGAATAATAACATGAGGGGATGGTGAAACTCCTTTTTAAGGACTGATGCTTGTCTACCTTTTGACTTTCTAGAATTTGTTCCACTACCTCACATACTACCTTCTCCGTGGTCTAATGATGAACAGTGCCATGATAGTGCTGCTCTTCCTGAGTTTTATTCTATGTAAAACTCTAAGCTGCCCATCAGCTTAGAGACCAAAGACTGCTGCTGTTAGTGCTTATTATTGTTATACAGGATTTATATAGCGCCAACAGTTTGCACAGCGCGTTACAAAATTCACACAAGCACAAGATGCAGAAACCGATTTGACAACAGTCGTTCAAAATGTTTATGTTGAACAGAGTGGTGCTCACAGGGCCACCCACAATGTGAACTTCAGTCGAGTCAGCAGTGCCAAAATTGGTTTGGCTTCTTGAAAAAGTCAAAACTTGCTCGTGGCTTTGCATTCTCCCCGTTGCCTTCACGTGACAACATTTGGGCCTGGGGATGGACTCAAGGTACGGGAGTGTTATGTGTTCTCCCATACCCTGAAGTGCTGGGTATTTCTTGCAGCTCTGGTGGTGGATCGGGGCATTGGATTAAAGAGAATGTCATTAAAGCACGCTGTATCTGATATAAGGTGTACCGGTCGCTTTGCCTTCTCTTCTTTAGAAACCATTAGCAATGTTTGTAATTCATATTTTTTTTTTTCTCAAGCCCCAACACCAATTATCCATGAATTGGATTAAATAGACTAGATGCATGTGATTTTATTAGATTTCTTCCTGTAAATGATTTAACCAGTCTACAGTTCATCCAGGCTCCAGGGAAAAAAAATCTGAACTGAAATAAGGAACTATACCTTTCTTTCAAAGCAGTGATTCCAGCTGACACAGACAATGAGGTTATTCACAAAGATTATGAAAGCTCAAACTTGGTCTGAACTATTCCAGACAATAAGTCATTGAGCTAGCAGCTGGAAATTGCCATCTTTATACAACAAAACTGACACACATAACAACTTTTTCAGTTTTACCTGAAAGTTTGTTAACAATTTTATGTAACAAGACAGACAGGAGCATTTAAATGAGAACTATGAGGTGAGTGATTTCCACTCATCCTCATAGTTAGAGCCGACCTGTCACAGGTCGGTTCTATTGATCGGGAAGTGAGCAGAAACATGCCGCTGATCCGCTCACTTCCTGATCGTCTCCCTGCCAGATACACTAGACAGTGTTTTGACAATCACAAAGAATTAACTGAGAAGAGGGTCTGTTTATAAATGTTTTCTTTTCACCCAAAGATTCACACTGCTTCCAACCAGGATTACTAAATTTTTTCAATTTTTCAATGGAATTCATGAGTTTTTTAAATCTTGAGTGAAAACATTCATAAATAGAACCCTAATGTATATCTCAGGTAGGTAATGGAGTAATGGAACGGTTAAAACCCCTCTTGGGCTTTTGGTTGATGTCGCTGTACCACTATGGATATATCCTTTGACATTCTTTCCCACAGACACAACAGGAAGTGAGAGAACATCTTTCCAAAGTAAGGGTAAAATTCCCTTATAGACAAGTGTTGCTATTGGAAGAACCTCCTGTTCTAATGACAACTGTAAAATTTTGGATTTCCAATTACATCCTATTCTGTTGACAATATTTACTGGGACAAATAGTGAGGGTGAATCTCCCCAGTGGACACGCACAGCACTACAAACCTGACAGGGATTCTAATCCTTTGAATAAGGGGCGTGTCTTGTTGCCCATGTACATATAGAAAAAAATGGAAAGAAACATTGATCATAATGTGATTTACATATTTTACAGGAGAAAAGCCATTTCTCTGGCATCTTGTAGCAATCCATCTTCTAAAAGCTGTCATTATCAGATACTTTCCATAAAACAAAAATATGGTATTATTATTTATTAACATTCCAATTTATTAGAATCTAAATTGACTGATGACTTTAAAACTATAATAAGGCACTTCAGTTTATAATATCTAGTTTATAAGTTAGAATCGATCATGAGGCAGTTAATTGTATGTTTTTTCACATGCCGTGTGTTACAGTGATGCGTGTTATTGCATGTTACCACAATGTATAGATCTGAAGGGGCCCTGAAGGTTAACTATAATTTCAAATAACTGAATCACAATTACTTTACCATATGTGCTGACTAAATCTATTCGCACTTACCTTAGATCAGTGAGCAATGCAGTCCAACAGCCTACACCGTGTCACTCTTCTCAGTCCGAGGATCATGATTTCAGGCTTACAAGTAGATTACATTTCCATTAGGACCTATGAAGAACCCAACACCCCGGACACTCCACTGTCACCCAGTACTCCTGACAATACACCTCCCTGCCACCTGACACTACACCTCCACCACCCAACACCCCTGACACTACACCTCCAGTCACCCAATATCCCCGACAATACACCTCCCTGCCACCTAATACCCTTAATACTACGCCTCCAGCCACCCAACACCCTTGACAATACACCTCCCTGCCACCCAACACCCCTGACATTACATCTCCCTGACACCCAACACCCCTGAAATACACCTTCCTGCCACCCAACAACCCTGTCACTACACCTCCAACCACTCAACACCCCTGACAATACACCTTCCTGCCACCCAACACTCCTGACACTACATCTCCCTGCCACACAACACCCCTGACAATACACCTTCCTGCCACCTAACAACCCTGTCACTACACCTCCAACCACTCAACACACCTGACAATACACCTTTCTGTCACCCAACACCCCTGACACTACATCTCCCTGCCACCCAACACCCCTGACAATACACCTCCTGCCACCCAACACCCTTGACAATACACGTCGCTTTCACCGTCAACCAGTACCGCTGACAATACACCTCCCTCCAAAGTGAGGGCTGCTGGTTACTGTACAAATTCTATGTTCACCGATGCCAGATATTGCTCACATTGCACTTCTTATGGCGCTGCAACTGAGATTTCCGGCTTTATAAAGTGCAGGGACCTTGTCTTGTAGATGTCCCCTCCTCCTACCTTTGTCCATTCACAAAAAGCCTTGTATTTGTTTCACGGTATGCAAGGTGTTCTGTGAATGGTTAAGGGGAGAGACTGTAATTTACCTGCCCCTCTCTCCTCCTTTCCCCTCGTCTACGCCCATTAGGCCTTTCATTTTGTGGCTATCAGACAGGAAGTGAAGGGAAATCTGCCCAATTGGACACAGAGGGTGAAAAAGCAGGGGTATAACCCTCCTTTATGCTATCCAAAACCCCCCAAACAAGTTTGTGCTTAAAACAGTGTGCCAAATAAAAGCATTATATGTATGGATATGCAAATTAGCCATATAGTTATTTGAAGGTTAGGCATCTAGGTATCAATCATCAGTGGACACAATGGGGTTAATACTAAAAACCCAAAACCCAAAGTTTTTGTGTGGAGTTAGGCTTCAACAGAACAGGTAGTAAGATGATA